TGTGTTCTGATGTGTGATGATGAGGATCTGGACCGGTGTGTTCTGATATGTGATGAGGATCTGGACCGGTGTGTTCTGATATGTGATGAGGATTTGGACCGGTGTGTTCTGATATGTGATGATGAGGATCTGGACCGGTGTGTTCTGATATGTGATGATGAGGATCTGGACCGGTGTGTTCTGATGTGATGAGAATCTGGACCGGTGTGTTCTGATGTGTGATGAGGATCTGGACCGGTGTGTCCTGATGTGATGAGGTCATTTTTATGAGACAGCTTAACAGGTGAAAGTTCAGACCTGAGATACCTATTGTACTTCTAATTCATGTAGAACAGACACAAGCTTGTAGGCAATAGAAACACTGCCTCATTTCAAGAACAAATCAACACCTATGGTTTGACAGTGGTATGGCAGGCTTGGCCACTGGAAATCACATTCCATTTCTAATTCCTTGACAGACTGGGAAGTTCGGCTCCACTCTGACCCTTGTTAAACTCTGTCAGCCATGCGTTTGCCTTATTCACTACTCTGGTTAGGAGCCAGGTGTCTGGGGAACCATTATCGCCAACCAGCCTTTCTGTCACACCAGTAAGATGTCACGTCTGAATAAATACAGCGCTTTGGAAGCTTTCAGCTTCTCTGCATTTAGTTCCGTTATACTATTTGATTCTTTTTTTTGCCATCGATCTAGACATAACAATACCCAATAATGACATAGCAAATCTAATGAAATCCCAATAAAAGACAGAAACACCACGTGCCCAAACGTATGCAGACTTTGCAATGACTCTACATACTGAGCTTAGATGTTTCCTGTAATCCTTTAACCATGATTAAGATCTTTAAAACCCGTTAGAACCACCATTAACGTCTCATCATTAAGGACTGTGAGAATTTTTAATTTAACTTATACCTGCCTGTATAAGCTCCCACACACGCATATCAGAGCCAAACCAAGCACAATGTCTGTTATCATTTTGGTTTATGGACCTTCTGACAGAAATTTCAGGCTAATCTCAAATGCCAAGCCAACAGTAAGAGTGGTACTTGACAAACACTGTGTCTTTGAGGCAGGTTAACAAGTCACACTGTTTACTTTTAGTTCAAATTACTTTTAGTTCCTAAGACAAATGACCTTAACAGCCATTTCTATGTCCACCAAAACACACCCCTTGAATACAGGACGTGTCCTACGCCCTCTGGAATTATATTATACCATCTGTTGATAACCTTCCTAAATTTCTAGGAAAGTATGAATTCGATTGATGAACAAGTTAGGATTCCAGGATTATACAGTGGATTTATCCACCCAAATAAGACAATAGCAAACCGACTACAAATGAGGTCTCTTTACCATTGGCAGGTTTTTGTTAGGCGAATCATGAATCAAACACAAAATGGAGCCAATCAGGAGGCGAACTTCACACACATGTCCAGCCCTTATTTACAACTAATACTGGACAGATGCTCTTTACTACTAATACTGGACAGATGTTATTTACTGCTAATACTGGACAGATGTTATTTACTGCTAATACTGGACTAATACTGGACAGATGCTATTTACTGCTAATACTGGACAGATGCTATTTACTGCTAATACTGGACAGATGTTATTTACTGTGGACAGATGTTATTTACTACTGGACTAATACTGGACAGATGTTATTTACTGCTAATACTGGACAGATGCTATTTACTGCTAATACTGGACAGATGCTATTTACTGCTAATACTGGACAGATGTTATTTACTACTAATACTGGACAGATGTTATTTACTGCTAATACTGGACAGATGTTATTTACTGCTAATACTGGACAGATGCTATTTACTGCTAATACTGGACAGATGTTATTTACTGCTAATACTGGACAGATGTTATTTACTGCTAATACTGGACAGATGTTATTTACTGCTAATACTGGACAGATGTTATTTACTGCTAATACTGGACAGATGTTATTTACTACTAATACTGGACAGATGTTATTTACTGCTAATACTGGACAGATGTTATTAATACTGGACAGATGTTATTTACTGCTAATATTTACTGGACAGATGCTTTTATTTACTGGACAGATGTTATTTATTGCTAATACTGGACACATGTTATTTACTGCTAATACTAGACAGATGCTATTTACTGCTAATACTGGACAGATGGTATTTACTACTAATACTGGACATTGTTGTTTGAAATATTGTCCCAAAACCACTTTAGGTGGGATGAAGAATCTCCTTCTGAAGACTGCTTAGAAGGATCTGCCGCTAATCCCATGTAAACAACTTCCCACTCTGACACAGCAGGGTGATTCAGTACTATCAGACAGAAGGCACTCCTGAGTAAATGGCATATGACATGCCGTCTGAAGGATTGGAGCATGAGGAAAAAGATGATCCTGTCTGATCAGACCTAGATCAAACTATAAACCCGAAACGCTACCTCTGGGGAAAGCTAGGTCCAACTCATCACACGGCTAACGCCACTCCAACAGTGGTGGTGCATGGTTGGAGGTGCTGTCGGGAACACTGAACAAATTCTTTCAATACTTTCTAAGTGAGATTTCTGGCGGACATTTCTAAAAACGTATTCATTATAGAGTTCAGTGCGCCAATAGCAAAATAATGTAATAATTTATGAATTACAGTTTTTTAGGATTGCTTAAGCACGATTTTCAAAACAGGGCACGTGTTTTCAAAACACTACACACAATTAGCAAAACCACACACCCAATAAGCAAAACACTACAGATCCTTTGCATAATTAAACACTCTTGTAGAAACTTTACACTTCTGTTTAAAAACCACACTTTGTTACCATATCAAACACACACGTTTCACATTACTATACTCTGTTTGCACGAGTTACACTCTGCTGTGATAAACCTAAAACACTTATAGCACTTCTACTTTCCTATGATTAGAGTAGGCTACCATCAACAAAGTGCAAATATAATGTAAATTCACCAAACACTACACAAGACCAATGTTGCAGACTGCAGAACCTAATTTATTTCTCAACCAAAATGTTGACATGGAGATTCATAATACTGTAACAAAATGTCACTTTACGTATTGTACTGTGAGTTTACTGTAAAAAAGAAAAAAAAACCTAGACATTGTCTCTTCGCCTAGCTGGATCTGGCCAGAGAATTTCATCAACATCGCAGGCAATGTTTGTCATTAGCAAGACACCTTGGAAAGAAACGTCTTGAATGACGAATCCATCCTTGCATTCTGTGAACATAGGAGGCCTTCCCCCTTGTAGTTCCTGACCCTCAATCTTGTGTAGAAAAAAAAACTGTATACCATAGTACAGTAATTTCACAGGAAAAGGTAACAGAAGTGCAGTAGAATACAGTACTGTAAGCAATTACTGAGACCGTGCAGATGTTTTTGATATGATGATATTTTTACAATACCTATTTTCCAGTTGAAATGTTCTCATCACACTTGCCACTGTGTATCGGCTTAGATTTGTCTGTACTCGCAGTCCAGCCTCCCTCAGCGTCAGGCCGTGGTTGACAACGTGGTCAACCAGTGTTGAGCGGATCTCATTTGTCAGATTCGGTCCTCTTTGAGCATCTTCTTGTCTTCCTCTTCCTCTGTTGATTCCTCCGCTGTTGATTCCTCTTCCTCCTCCTCCTTGTCCACCTCCTCGTTCTCCTCGTTCTCCTCCTCTTCCTCCTCTTCCTCGTTCTCCTCGTTCTCCTCCTCGTCTTACTCTTTCTCTGACTCTTTCCATTGTGCTTGAAAACCGATGAACTCACCTGCTGCTTTTTATAGTGCTCATACACCTAATTGGTGTGTCTACAATTAAGCAAACAAGTGTTTGCACACCTGATGACTGTGTTGAACCAATTGGTTGGACGGTGCCGTAATTTGACAGTCAGTGCTTTGGTATTGCAAGGAAGTGACTTCATGATGGATTTTTGTGTGTAATGTATGTTAAGTGTGTTTAGTGTTTTGCAAATCACTGTGTGTAGAGTTTTGCAACAAGTGTGAGGTTGACAATGTGCTTATAGTTGTGCAAATATGGGCTGATGTTTTGCTTCTTGAGTGTAAGGTTTTGCTAATAGTGTACAACTTTTAATTTTAGTGTGTAAGCAATCCAAAAAACTGTAAGTCTAAAACTTGACAAAATGTGTAGAAAGAAAAGGGGTCTAAAATAAGTTTTGAAGAGAGCATATAGGCCTACAGAGATTATGGCCACCGTCAATGTGTGGACAGAAGCCAACATGTAACTCTGTACAAGATCAATACACTCTGTGTTGGGCGCCACAAAAATGCCCATTAAAAGCATTTCCTGCATTTTCTTACAGAGAGCAAGTAGAAACGCCCAGATAGTCTTCCTGCATAAAGAAACTCCCGGTGTTCCCAGCCCCTTTAATCATGAATACGACCCTCAGGGAGTTACAGATGGCAGCCCCCTGACTCCCGAACAGAACTCGTATAACAACCAGTCTCAACCAAAACAGAGAGCTCCCCCAACCTCTCCAGCCAGACCACTGGATACCCGTCTGCTTAATCAAGTTAGCATCAGCAAAACTTACTCTGAAAGGAAACCTAGAGAGTTTTGCTTACGCCACCAACCAACCGTTCTCTACTCACCTGCGTAGCTTTAATTGACTTGTTAATTAAAGGAGTGTTATCTTGGCTTTAATTACACACCCAGCGTATACCTGGATATGTAAATGCCGGGGCATAATGAGGTATTGTTGTGCCCAGAGCGGTCACACCTGATTCCCCTTGCTGCAATGCTGCACGCCGCAGATAACGTAGCCTGTAGTAGTAGACAGACAGTTCACACTGCAGTAACAGCAGACCATCCAGCACGAAGCAGGAGCCAACACACCCCGACCCCCGTCCCCTGAGACCGGGCATAGTCCGTCCCCGTGCGTCACAGACCTCAGAGAAGCCCAGCCTCTGAGTGAACAGCATCACGTACACTCCATCATCATCTAACCACTGACATGGGCTGAACGATAAAGAGCAGTTGGGAGCTCAGTGGTAGAGCGCATGCTTTGTGTGTATGATGTCCTGGGTTCAATTACCTGCCTGGTTAAATAAAGGTTAAATATAAAAACAAAAAGGAGATTCTGAATGGGAACAGGTTGGTCATTCCTGTTGTGACCACTAGAGGGCTCTTTTGTTTTATTATGATGATGCTAATTGACAGTTACACACAGTAACACACACAGGTAACAGGTAAGTGATAGCTTTTGGAAGCCACAGGGAACATTAGGAAAACACACAGGGAATGGGAAGCCCCTGCCTCCTTTGTTTAACCTGATCTGTCTCGATGCTGCTACAGAGACGCAAGTTCGCCACACTTGATTGCCATTTTCGTCCTCTAATCACAACACTTTCGGCCTCCAATCGGCTCAACCCTCCCGGTTGGCCCTTTCTGACTGTATTTGACCTGGCCTATTTTATAACTTGTTGCGTTTAAAGAATGCATTTAATTATTATGATCATCCAGCACAGCCAGAAAAGGACTAGCCACCCCTCAGAGTCTAGTTTCTGTATAAGTTTCTTCCTAAATTCGAGTTTTTCCTTGCCGCTGTGTATCAACTTATATCCACTTGTTGATGTGTGCGCTGTCGGTTTGAGGCCGGGTGTTTTTAGTATCACTTTGTGACAACTTTGTTGTAACAACGGCTTTATAAAATACATTTGAATAAAGGATTTGAGGGCCACCAGATAATATAGGGTCTGAGGGCCACCAGTTAATATAGGGTCTGAGGGCCACCAGTTAATATAGGGTCTGAGGGCCACCAGTTAATATAGGGTCTGAGGGCCACCAGTTAATATAGGGTCTGAGGGCCACCAGTTAATATAGAGTCTGAGGGCCACCAGTTAATATAGGGTCTGAGGGCCACCAGTTAATATAGAGTCTGAGGGCCACCAGTTAATATAGGGTCTGAGGGCCACCAGTTAATATAGAGTCTGAGGGCCACCAGTTAATATAGGGTCTGAGGGCCACCAGTTAATATAGAGTCTGAGGGCCACCAGTTAATATAGGGTCTGAGGGCCACCAGTTAATATAGAGTCTGAGGGCCACCAGTTAATATAGGGTCTGAGGGCCACCAGTTAATATAGAGTCTGAGGGCCACCAGTTAATATAGAGTCTGAGGGCCACCAGTTAATATAGGGTCTGAGGGCCACCAGTTAATATAGGGTCTGAGGGCCACCAGTTAATATAGGGTCTGAGGGCCACCAGTTAATATAGGGTCTGAGGGCCACCAGTTAATATAGGGTCTGAGGGCCACCAGTTAATATAGGGTCTGAGGGCCACCAGTTAATATAGAGTCTGAGGGCCACCAGTTAATATAGGTCTGAGGGCCACCAGTTAATATAGGGTCTGAGGGCCACCAGTTAATATAGAGTCTGAGGGCCACCAGTTAATATAGGGTCTGAGGGCCACCAGTTAATATAGAGTCTGAGGGCCACCAGTTAATATAGAGTCTGAGGGCCACCAGTTAATATAGGGTCTGAGGGCCACCAGTTAATATAGGGTCTGAGGGCCACCAGTTAATATAGGGTCTGAGGGCCACCAGTTAATATAGAGTCTGAGGGCCACCAGTTAATATAGAGTCTGAGGGCCACCAGTTAATATAGAGTCTGAGGGCCACCAGTTAATATAGAGTCTGAGGGCCACCAGTTAATATAGGGTCTGAGGGCCACCAGTTAATATAGGTCTGAGGGCCACCAGTTAATATAGAGTCTGAGGGCCACCAGTTAATATAGGGTCTGAGGGCCACCAGTTAATATAGAGTCTGAGGGCCACCAGTAAATATAGAGTCTGAGGGCCACCAGTTAATATAGGGTCTGAGGGCCACCAGTTAATATAGGGTCTGAGGGCCACCAGTTAATATAGGGTCTGAGGGCCACCAGTTAATATAGGGTCTGAGGGCCACCAGTTAATATAGGGTCTGAGGGCCACCAGTTAATATAGGGTCTGAGGGCCACCGTTTAATATAATTGTTAAATCAATACAATTTATTTATAAAGCCCTTTTTTTAGAACACATTTGTCACAAACTGCTTTTACAAACACACAGCCTAATATTCAATATATGATTGAGCAGAAAGAGAGAACTAGTGTCAAAGTCAAAGCTGCCATAACTGAGTCTCAGAAAGGGCAACTAACCAACAGATAGGGTTTTGGAGTGTGAAAATAAGAATGTATTACTCGTTAGTCCCAAATAGCAGAAATGACAAGCAGAGTTTAATATGTTTCAATTTGGAAGCCGACCTTCTATATGACAAGAAGTAGAAGTGGGAAGTATAGATGAAGTGAGACTACATCTCCAGCCCCCCCACACCTGACAATCAGAATCAGAAACACTTTAGTAATCCCAGGGTGGAATTACTTTTGTTACAACTCCAGAAATGCATACAACATATTTACATACAACGTATAATAATATTAATGAAACTTCACAATAACGCTATAACAATGCAATCGATTTGGTCAGCTGGCATGAACCTGAGTCACTGCACGTTTATGTCACACGCAAGTGACGCAACTATATTAGCTCCAAAATCCTTTTACGCACACCACAAGGAAATAATCTCTGACTATTTAGGCACGTTTAAACAGTTTTCCAATCTCCACATCCATTACCCAAAGAACACACGCACAAAATAACACTTTCCGTCCCCGCCAACTTGCAAAAATAATAAAATGTAGTACTTACACTAGTCAAAGCTGATCCCACCTGTTGTCTAAAAAATAAATGCTACAAGCGCGGCGGCACCATTCTCTTATTTTGAGCTACAGGCAGGGTGCCCTGGTTACAGGTGTCCAAATGTCGAGGTGCGCTCTGGAGTCGTGGAGATAAAGTATCTCATGAGGGGACGAATGTCCAGGGAGTTTCAGTGGCTTTACGCCAATTTGAAAAGCCGGCATTGGGTTGTCTTTCTTAAATTTATCTCTAGGTATTACTTTTTTCCGACTGCTTTCAGGCAAACAAAACACAAAATATGATCGGTCTCTTCCACATATTGTAGCCACTGCCATCTAGCAAACCAAGCCGGTGCCACAGATCGTGAGAACGTTTCATTACCACAACGCCGGGCAGGAAATTTTAAACTAGATGTTGGCTGTAAGGGCTCGTCTAATCCAATCACGCTAGTAGGTTGGGTTGCGGGTGCTAGGGCTGGGCCTGCTGGTACAACTGCAGGCAGAGGCGGGCAGACAGTCTCCTTACTCAGGCTACTCTCCGTTGTCATTGTTGCGGTACTAGTGGGTTTTTTCACTGGTGGTGGTTTTTTAAAGAAATCCGAAATCCATTTCTGTTTCTGTGACATTTTACTCCTCGTTTCTGTTATTCGATTATTTAAATGTACGAGTCTGTCTGTTGCTGTATGGAACGAGCGGGATTCGGGAAAACTCTTTACTTAGCGATCACTGCCTGCCTGACGTTGACAACATAACTTCCGAACCTGTGTTGATTAGGCCTCAAAATAATGAAATTAAAATCCAAAATACACGTAATAATAGCCAACGTGTGTCAAAATATTTTCCTAAAATATTCATAATGAATTAGAAAATTGTGCTAAATATTTTTAATACATTAACACTTCCCGCGGCCCTGAAAAAGAATGTATATATTTACACGAAAAATAGAATAACGATAGATGGGTAGATTACTGAAGACGATTTAGCATATTAGCTGTTCGACCAGGAGAGGAGTGATCTGAGTGAATGCTAACATTCTATTGTATTATCCCAAGAATCCCATTAAATCAACTTTTGCCCTCAACATCCATAGAAGAAGTACCACTTATTGCTAGATTTCAATTATTTGGTACTAATTGAGAGGTGAAGGCCAATCTATTTTGTTAGTTAATTAAGGAATTTCAGTGTTAACCCCACTAATGTTGTACTGAACGACCAGCAGAGGAAACTGAAAGTGTTTTGAACAATAAATATCCTTACTGTAAGATTGTAGATAAGGTAGGTAATAGCCAGGAGAGGAACAGAGAAACCCAAGGACTTTTAATAAATAAAGAAAACAGACACTAAAACACAAACAAAGCTACATGGGTAAGAAAACCAAACAACGGCCGAGGGAATAAAGGAAAATAAAACTGGACCACAGGTGAGTGTAAAGGTGAGGGCAAAAACCACAAACAAGTCTTTGTTCTTTGGATGCGTGAGAGAAGATGTTTGATCTTACTGGCACGGCAAGATCGCACATGACACCCACAATGCCTCTCTCCAATCATCGATCAGTATGACAGACACATTTTAGGAGTAGAGAAGTTGGGATAACACATTCTTCAATATATATTATTGGAATGATATTACAAGATTTCTCGGGCAAAATGCCTTACGAATGGCTCCGTAAATGTAATGAAAGAGATTAAATCAACCGAATGCCTGTGCGAAAAAACACAATTACCCATAAACCACGAGTATAGAAGCTGATGCCGAGCATTAACTTGGAAGGCCCCCGGGGTTTCTGGTCCCCCAGTATGATGTCTGCTCCAGTACAGTACAGGAAGCACGCGGTTAGCTTAGTGCTCTCTCATCCATCTCACTCTCTGATGGATGGCACCCAGCTGATCACTCCCTCCCCCCCTCTCCCTCCCCCTCTCCCTCCCTCCCTCCCTCCCCTCCCTCCCTCCCTCCCTCCCTCCCTCCCCCCCCTCCCTCCCCCCTCTCCCTCCTCCCTCTCCTCTCCTCCCTCCCTCCCTCCCTCCCTCCCTCCCCCTCCCTCCCTCCCTCCCTCCCTCCCTCCCTCCCTCCCTCCCTCCCTCCCTCCCTCCCTCCCTCCCTCCCTCCCTCCCTCCCTCCCTCCCTCTCTCTCTCTCTCTCTCTCTCTCTCTCTCTCTCTCTCTCTCCCTCCTCCCTCCCTCCCTCCCTCCCTCCCTCCCTCCCTCCCTCCCTCCCTCCCTCCCTCCCTCCCTCCCTCCCTCCCTCCCTCCCTCTCCTCTCTCTCTCTCTCTCCTCTCTCTCTCCTCTCCCTCCCTCCCTCCCTCCCTCCCTCCCTCCCCCCCCCCCTCCCTCCCTCCCTCCCTCCCTCCCTCCCTCCCTCACTCACTCACTCCCTCC